AAGTAAACGACACATTATAATCATCTTTAATTCATTTAAGACAAATTATAACTCTAATCTAAGCCCAATTATTCTTTATTTCTAGTTTTACAGAAAAGTTTTATGTTTGTATATTAAAAAGCAGTTTGATATATTTTATTTTTTAAAATATGTCAGTCATTATTTAAGCAAATATGTCACCATTTTTAATTTCGGGTACAAAACTTGAGCAAAAAAATTTATTTCTCTATCCAATTTAATGAACGAGAACGCGCTCAACTATTTTCTTATTTTCCCACCGTTCATAATTTTTTTTTAACATTTATAACTGATAAGAGTTGAAAATATATTTAGTAATTTTAATATTTAAAAATTTGTCAGTACACTGTTAATATTGTTCACAATATACTTGTAGAAGAGAAAAACTCGTATTTTATTGTAATATAGAAGTAAATTTTTAGATTAAAAAAAAAATATATTGTTGGTATAAAAAAAATCACGAAAAATTACAGACGTTTTTATTAAAATAGAACAAAACATGGACCTTAAATATGGAAAAGAAGTTGAATGACAGACCTTCATTACTAGCAAATTATGACGGCATTAAGCTTGATTAAATGAATACATCTCTTTTCATCGAATTTCGCACTTAGTAATATTTTTGAATTATATAAATTTTTTATTAATAAAAAAAATGTATGAATGAAGGAGTAAAGTTGTACCGTTATAAAATAATGTATTAACTCCTATTCTATTGCCAGTAGAAATTTAAATCAACAAGATTGGATACAGCATTATATTCCCACTCAAGTCTAAGAGTAGAAAAAACCCTTTGACATTTTTTAGTAAGGTTATTTTTCAATTTATTCGTATCTCATTCAAATTAACAAACAAATACGACAAGTAAAATAATAAGTCGGTTTTTGATAATTATATTATTTTTTTTTTTATTCAAAAGAAAACCTAATATAAAGGAAAGGACCAGTACGTTTTTAGCACAATCATCATTTATACTATTAAAAATTTAACAGTTGTAAAAAATTACGTTTATCAGGTATTATAACAATATTATTTTAATCAGATCAAATTATTGATAAAATCGGTCGAATAACTTATATTGACGTTACTAGGGAACGAATAGATTTTAGTATTAGTTTCCTATAAATATTGAATTCTTATCATGAAAAAAAGAATTTTTTTTTTTTAAATTATGAAATTAGCCAATAGTTAAAACAAGAAAAAGAGAAGAGTTTGATGGTTCGCCTTGAACTGTCGAGAATTGAAGAATGAGTGATAAAATTTAATTGTAATTGTTACTTCCCGTCAACCAAATAACGAACAGCTGAGGTGAGTTCTTTAAAAAGACTGAAGAAAAAATAGATTTCTTTATATATTTATAAATTGTATTTTGTATAGTAAATAAATTTCTGGGGGATAGGAACAAAAAAAAAGAAAAAATATATAAAATTGGACAATTTAAAAAAAAATTTAAATGCTTTGACTAAGGAGTAAAGAGCGATTTCATCTACTTTCACTTTCTTACACGAGGCATTACTATCACCTTCCGTTCTGAAACGTTTTTAACTTTTTTTTCTTTCGTAAAATTTAGTAAATATTACTATTTATAAAAAAAAAAAGTAAATAAATAAGAAATCAGACGAGAGGAAGTTAAAGATCGACTGGCAGATGTTGTCAGAGCTCAATTGACACAAGTTAGTAATTGATCCATCGCCGCTGATGTCTTTCATAGGCTGTTTCCAATTCATTCCTAAATACATCATGGCTCCTTTTAATTGTTGTAGGCTGGAAAATAATTTCGATTTCGTAGAGAATCGATAGATATAATCGACCTATTAATTCATTAGAAAGTTAGGGAACGATTGATTTCGAGATAAGGGCGGACTCCCAAAAAAAAAAATCCTAAGATGGTCTGACAAGTGAAAGTTTTTGGGTTTGGCGTTTTCTCATTTTAGATTGTTTTTTTGTTTTTTTCTGTTAAAGGCATATGATCTATTATTTTAAAAACAAAATAGGGAATTAATAATTGACTAACAGTAAGAGACGAATCCGACATAAGCATAGTTAGTCTAATTTTAATTTAAGTATATTTCTTCGAGCACATCTAGCAAAGCAAGAATACCTCTTTAAACATCACGTTGAGATATCACAATGACGTAAAGAATTGGTGTTCTAAATGACTAATCAACAATAATTTGATATCTTCATTTAAAACGAAGAGAAGATAAAATAACAAAAAATGTAATCCCTTGAAATTTATTTATTATTATCATAATTATTAATTTTAATAATAAAACGAATACTCTTATTTCTCGATTTTAATGACTTAATTTTATTTTTATTTTTAATTTTAAAACTCGAATAAACATATTCGATTGCAGTTATTTCCTGTGTTTGGATAATATTATTTAATTTTTAAATATACGTAATTAAAATTAGTATCAATTAAATCAAGAATGGAAATTATAAAATATGAGATTACCGAAAATGTATAGAAACGACTAATAGAAATATATTTCGAAAGTCCGACCGTGATTTTGGTGGCTGTGGCAAGTTGAGCGGGGCCTTCCGGTTTGAAAGGAAACAGAGCGCGAATGGGTCCCAACTTCCTAATCCTCTTTATTATTTTATTTGTATATTTTTTATTTTAATTAAAAATAATAAAAATCGAAATTTTCTTTTTCTTTAAAGCTTATTATTAAAGATTAAAGATTATCATATATTTAAAAAAGAATTTACAAGATGTATTTATGTAATAAAAATATCTTCATAAGACCTTAGTTTAAATTTCAGGATATTGCAAATTTTACTTTCCTTTTGAAAAATGAGAGCTATTTATTTACATATCTTTCTACGGTGATAATGCCTTTTTTTTTTATTTTAACTAATCTTCTTCTTCTATTTGAGAGTGATTTATTATTATTTATTTGCCTTTAATTTGTCCATTTTTATTCACTTTGAAAATTTTTACTTTCCGATAGAGTAGAAAAATTACTTTTATTTATTTATATATTTATCTTTGCCCTTTCGTGGCCTTTTACAATAGTTTTTACCCAATCTTATTAAATTTATATTAGCCTTCAAATGAAATTTTGAGGTTCGGTTTTAATTTTTATTTTTTTAAAGTATAGTTACCATTATCCAGAATTATATTTTATTTTATTAATAACTTATCCTTTTATTTTTTTTATAATTTATTAATTTTAGAACATTTCCGGATATTTTTTTCCATAGAATGGAAAAAATACTTTTATTCCTAGTTTTTTTGTCTATCTCTTTATGACATTTTTATTTATTATTATCATTTTATTTATTTTTTTTTTTTTTAAAGCAATTCTAAATTTATTATATTGGCTTGCAAATCCATGGATGTTCCGTTTTTCATTTCGTGTTTGAAGTATGATTTCCATAAGTAAGAATTTTTATTTATTTATATTACTTGGTATATTTATATCCGCCTTGATATTTTTTATTTATTTATTTTTCTTCATCTTATTATTCTTTTTAATTTTGTATTTACTTTTTTTTTAAGTAGTTCTAAATTTATTATATTGGCTTTCAAATCCATGGATGTTCCGTTTTTCATTTCGTGTCCTAAGAATGATTTCCATGAGTAAAATTTTTTATTTATTTATATTACTTGGTATATTTATATCCGCCTTGATATTTTTTTATTTTTCTTCATCTTATTATTATTTTTTTTTTTTAGCAGTTCTAAATTTATTATATTGGCTTTCAAATCAAATCGTTGTTCTATTTTTCGTTTCGTGTCTGAAGAATGATTTCCATACGTAAGAATTTTTAATTATTTATTTTACTTGGTAGATTTGTATCAGCTTTGATATTTTTTATTTATTTTTCTTCTTAATTTTATTTTTTAATCAGTTCTAAATTTATTATATTGGCTTTCAAATCAAATGGATTTTCGGTTTTTCATTTCGTGTCTGAAGTATGATTTCCATCAGTAAGAATTTTTATTTATTTATTTGGTAGATTTATATCCGCTTTGATATTTCTTATTTATTTATTTTTCTTCATCTTATTATTATTATTATTATTATTTTTTTTTTTTAAGCAGTTCTATATTTATTATATTGGCTTTCAAATCCATGGATGTTAAGTTTTTCGTTTCGTGTCTGAAGAATGATTCACATACGTAAGAATTTTTAATTATTTATTTTACTTGGTAGATTTGTATCAGCTTTGATATTTTTTATTTATTTTTCTTCTTAATTTTTTTTTAATCAGTTCTAAATTTATTATATATATATTTTTTTTTTTTTATATTTGTATTCGCCTCTACCCTAGAGGGCTCTAGACCCCAGGCTAGAGAGCTAGAGGGCTCTGGCTTTCAAATCAAATGGATTTTCGGTTTTTCATTTCGTGTCTGAAGTATGATTTCCATAAGTAAGAATTTCTATTTATTTATTTGGTAGATTTATATTCGCTTCGATATTTTTTATTTATCTATTTTTCTTCATCTTATTATTATTATTATTTTTTTTAAGCAGTTCTAAATTTATTATATTGGCTTTCAAATACATGGGTGTTCGAATTTTCATTTCGTGTCTGAAGTATGATTTCCATAAGTAAGAATTTTTATTTTAGTTGGTAGATTTATATCCGCTTTGATATTTTTTATTTATTTATTTTTCTTCTTATTTTTTTTTTTAAACAGTTGTAATTTTATTATATTGGCTTTCAAATCAAATGGATTTCGGTTTTTCATTTCGTGTCTGAAGTATGATTTCCATAAGTAAGAATTTTTATTTAATTTTTTTCTTAGTCTTATTATTATTAATTATTTATTTTACTTGGCAGATTTATAACCGCTTTGATAATTTTTATTTCCTTTTCTTGATAAGGATCTTTTTTTTTTTTCTTGTTGAGCGATGTCCGCATACTTCCTACTTCTTCCGATCCTCGGATGACCCTTCACCCTTCACCTCACCTAGACGGATACAGATATATATTATGTATTCTTATCTTTATTTGGGACATACCGTTGATGAACATGTGATGCTGCCTCCATAGCTGCTGGTATTGACTCCACCGCGCGGACTGATCGGGCGCCAACGGGTGGAGTTGGTGGAACTGGTGGTGCTGGGGCTGTGGCTGGGGGGCCGCGGCAGTCCCATAGTCCATCACTAGACACTTGGCCTCGTACATCCTCGACCAGGGCCGGACCCGCACTGGGGCTACGCCTCGCTGGCGTACCCCCTCCATTCGGGGCCTCCCACTCCACGGCTTCCTTTCTGTCAATGGGCTCGTTATAGCGCTCTCTTAAGAGAGATGAATCGCCTTAGAGGATGGCAACCGAGGGACTTACCAGCCACTATCAGGAACCTTATCACTCGAGAGAATGTGTGATCACCTTCGTAACCCAAATAACCAGCGCCCTAGTAATATTTAAAAGAAATTTTCACTCAAAGATAAAACCCACCTTTTTAAGTCGCTTCTTCTCTTTTTAAGCACCCACAAAGGGTCTCTTCCCTCTTATTTGGTATAGATAAAACACAAACAACTAATAGTGATGATAAAGACACTATCTAATAAATATTTTTTTGAAACAAAAAGTATTTTTTTTTTATTTATTTTAAATGATATTTACAACTGTATACAAAAAAAATACATCTAGTAAATTTGCACATTGGTATAAAGACATGGAACACATGTTGAGAAACTACCCATTGGTAGCACTCTAATAATATGTCTATATTAGAAGATCACGTGGCCATCTTCTTTTCAGACGCCTCGGAGGGTTATCAGGAATCGAATAGAAAGCAAGGTTAGAGACAAGAGGGTTGGGATGGTTTATTATGGAAGGACAGATACCTGGATTGGGCCAAATCTGATACATAAGGAACATTAAGGTCATTATGGATAATTTTATTTGTAACAAAGTAAGGAGCATTGAGGATTTTACGAAGGATTTTGGATTGCAAGGACTGTATGCGACAGGAATTTGAAGGCTTGGTGGAGCCCCATAGCTCAACCGCGTAAGTCCAAATAGGCCTTATTATAGTCATGTAAACAGTCTTTTATAATTGATTGGAAGGTTAGAGCGTTTGTCTAGTAAGTGTTGAAGTAGTCGGAAACGTCGAGCGGTTTCTTGTCGTTTCAGTCTGGTATGAGGATTCCAAGTTAGACGTTTGTCCAGATGGAGTCCTAGGTAACGGATTTGTTCAACAGGAATAAGTGAGGTGTTGTTAAAGGATACTGAAGGACAGGAAGTCATTGGTTTACGACGAAGGGTGAAGGTAATTTGATGGGATTTATTGGAATTTATTTTAATTCTCTATTTTTGACACCATTCTTCCAGGTTTGTGATGTGGGATTGAAGGGTTTGGGATGCAATAGATGGGTCGTTATTGACTGATAGGATACATGTGTCATCAGCATATGTGGTGATGACAGTGTTGGGATGGGTTGGGATGTCAGCTGTATAAACTGTGTAAAGGATAGGACCTAGGATACTACCTTGAGGAACACCTGCAGACTGGAAAAACGGGATGTATATACATTGTTGTGATTTACTTTAAAGTATCTATCAGTAAGGTAGGAACGGATAATGAGGAAGTAGGTAGATGGTAGGAATTTTCGGAGTTTGTACAGCAGTCCCGGGTGCCAAACTCTATCAAACGCCTGTTCAACATCGAGAAAGGCTCCCGTACAGTACATACCGCGCTCCAATGCAGAGGATACTACTTCTACCACACGATGGCATTGCTGTATAGTGGAATGGGAGGAGCGGAATCCAAATTGGTGATCTGGGATTATGTGATTAGAATCTAGGATTGGGTACAGGCGTTTTAAGATTAGTTTTTCCAGGATTTTTCCCATGATGAGTAACAGAGAGATGGGACGGTAAGAGGATGGATATTCTGGTGGCTTTTTAAAACAAAAAGTAATATGTTTAAAATTAAAAATGATTTTTTTTTCTTTGTCCTATCCTTTACACAGTTTATACAGCTGACATCCCAACCCATCCTGACACTGTCATCACCACACATCTCAAACCTTGAAGAATGGTCTAAAAACTGGAGAATTAAAATAAATTCCAATAAATCCCATCAAATTACCTTTACCCTGCGTCGCGAACCCATGACCTCCTGTCCTACAGTATCCTTCAATAATTCCTCACTTATCTCAGTTGAACAAATCCGTTACCTAATACTCCACCTGGACAAACGACTCACATGAAATCCTCACACAACACTAAAACGACAAGAAACTTCTCGAAGTTTTCGACTCCTGCGACATTTACTAGACAAAGGCTCTAAGCTTTCAATCAATTACAAACGACTCATATATATGACAATAATAAGACCTATTTGGACTTACGGAATTGATCTTTGGGGCTCCACTAAACCATCGAATTCCTCTCGCATCCAATCCTTACAATTCAATATCCTCAACGCTCCTTACTTTGTCACAAATAAAATCATCCATAAAGACTTTAATGTTCCATATGTTTCCAATTTGAATCCAGATTCCTATCCTTCCATAACAAACTCCAGAGGCGTCTGAGCACTTATGTTTCAAACCTTGCTTCCTCCTCGATCCCTGATAACCCTCCGACACGTCTGAAAAGAAGATGGCCTCGTGATCTACTTATGTAAATATATTATTAGAGTGCTACCAATGGGTAGTTTATCAACAAGCGTTTTCATGTGATTGTATTATTACTGTGTGCACATTTACTAGTTGTATTTTTTTTTATAATACCGTTGTAAATACAAATGAATAAAAAAAAAAAAACATTTTTTCTTAATGACAAATCTTAACCATTCACAACTGATATCACTCATTTTTTTATTTTTTTTTTATTCTATGCTATTAAAAAAAAAAATCGTTAGGGTTTAAAACGATTTGGCGTTAGAACATGCCATAAGGGATTTAATGCATAACGAAAAAGGGTTGCATTTGGGTGGGACAAAACCCGTGGGGTTGGCTATGACCAGGTCCTGTTAAGTAAAGACACGGAAACTATAAAACTAAATACGACAATGCTAATAAAATCCGGCAAAGAACTAAGGCTCGAAATGAACACGGATAACACAAAATATATGGTTACCTGCAAAAATAGCGATATTGCTGGTGATATCGATTTGAACAGGTAGATAAGTATAAGTATCTACGGTCTATGATAACTAGAAAAAAGGAAATTGATGAAGAGATTAAGGTTAGGCTGAAGGCGGGAAATACTTGCAATTTTTCTGTGACAAAACTACTTAGCTCGCGTATCTTGCCCCGGAATTTAAAGACTAGAATCTATAAAAGCATTATCCTACCTACGTTTTTTTATGGATGAGAAACATGGCCTCTTACGTTAAGGGATGAGCAATGTCTTAAGGCTTTTGAAAATAAAGTATTGCGTAAAATATTCGGATCGCAGAAGGATGAATTAACCGGAGAGTTCAGAAGGTTGCACAACGCCAAATTGCGTAACTGTATCCGATTAATATAATTGAGGTGGTTACATCGCAGCGAATCAAATGGACTTGGAAACGAAAGAATTCCTAAAAGGTTGATATTTGCTGTACCGAAGGGGTAAACCGTGGAGTAGACTGAAGCGAAGGTGGGAAGATTGCATTAAAGCCGATCTGAAAGGACTGAGTTTGGACGGCGAACCTGTACCTGTTATAAGGCCAACGGTTGTGCAGTGAGTTGACTGGTCCGATATCACGCTCAACAGCAACGTTTTCCCCCTTAATTAATCATTTAATTAAGAGTCATCATCATCATCATCACAGGCACTACAACCCGGTACGGATCTTCGCTGCATCATTGCGTCGCCTCCATTCCTCTTTGTCTTGTGCAAGAAGGATCTGCCGAGCTGTAGTGTCCAGAAGCTTTTCTGCGTCGGCTTCGACCTCATCTGCCATCTCAGTCGTGGTGGTCCTTTCTTTCTTCTGCCATCCACATAACCGAACAGCAGCTGCTTGATTGGTGAGTCCCCATCCCACCTTAACCTAGAGAGCCGTCTAAATTGCACCACATCCGGTTCCCGGTATATTTGGTACAACTCTGCATCATACCTTAGCCTATACTGATTTTCGACTTTTACAGAGCCAAAAATTCTTCTCAGGATTTTTCTCTCGAAAATATACAACCTGATGGCGTCTGTTCGTATTGTACAGAGCGATCTTAGTGGATATAGCCAGCAGATGACTTCTTAAAATTTTAGCTAGGCCAAGCTAATTAATTAAGAGTACCAACTTTTTATAGATGCTGGGTATGCCATAGGAGGTTCTCCTGAACCCAGGGTCGATCCAAGGCTGATGACAAATTACAAGTCATCAGCCGGATTCGGACTCGGTCCCTTGTGCTCTGGGTCTATGGTATTTAACTTATTCTGTATTATACAACTTTTCAGAATCAGAATCGCTTTGGACTTCCACCAGGGTTTCCCATGGCTTCGTCTTTTGGGTACCAGCGACTTTTCAATATTTCTTTTTACTGATTTCTAATTTCTATTCACGAATTATTTAGTTTTCTTCAGTACAAAATCCTTTAACAGCCTCACACTCCGAGCAACATCTCTCTGATTTTCTGCTAGAAAAATGGATTCTGAAACACCGAGAAAAGATTTTTAACTTATATTATAAAGAGCTTTAACTTATATTTTTTTAATTTTTAATATATATTTTTTGTGATATAGACCAGCTGAGGACAGCGCGTTTATCATTATTTTTTGTATTTCTTATTCATTTTTCCTCTTAATTTATCCTAAGTCTTACTATTTCTTTCTTTATTTGTTCAGAATATATTTTGACGTCCTTTAGACCCATTATTTTGTCAAATATCTGTTTATTTATATCTATCTTTATTCATTCTTTCCATGTGATAAAAGAATTTCAATATCTTTTTCTATATTGATGTAACCAGATCTTCGATATCTTCATACAATTCTTGATTCTTTGTAGGGCAGTAATAAATAATTGTATATAATAACCAACATTTATATATTATAGAAAAACTTTTAATTATGGAAAAAAGTACAACAGTTAGGAAAAGCGTTGCCAAGCGAGCAATTTATATATATATATATATATATATATATATATATATATATATATATATATATCTAATTAGTGTTTTTCCCATCCCAACTAATAAGTCCTTATTCATTTTTATTTTATTCAGTTAATTGCGCTATAAACCCTGTGGATCTTTGGTCTTGCAGTATTGTTGCAAATGTGCAATACTTGCAGGAGCACATAAAGCTCAGAGGGGATCACCCAACATCAAGTGGCTACGAACCAATCTGGTAGTGCCCTTCCCTCCGACTCACTCAGGTTCAAG